TATATATATATGCTATTGTAAGTTTGTGGTGAGAAAGTTTTTTTTTTTTGTGACAGAATTTAATTGAATTGAATTAATTTTTATTCAGCAAGGATGCATTCAATTAATCAAAAGTGACAGTAAAGATTTCTACATTATTGCAAAACATTCTATTTCAAATAAATGCCTTTCTTTTAAACTTTAAATTCATAAACATGAGAAAAAAATGTATCATGGTTTCCAATAAATATTAAGCAGTACAACCATTATCATCAGAAATGCTCCCCCCCACTTTTTTTTCTTTTGAGCAGCAACTCAACATATTAATGATTTCTGAAGGATCATGTGACACTGAAGACTAAATTAATGACTACTGATAATTCAGCATTGCGTCACAGGGGGAAAAAAACATTTTAAAATATATTACAACAGAAAAATGTTTAAATTGTAATATTATTCAACAATATTATACATCTAAGCGTATTATATGTTATATAAGCTGATCTGTAACAAAGTCAAATAAAAAGTCTATATCAGAAGGCCAAAAATATTTCTGTTGACATAAAAAAGATTCATTGAAGATGTTATTCAAACTGTAAACACTGAGTATAGGCGGATTTGAATAAAACCAGTTAATTTAGATGTCTTTTGGGTTATTTGGCAACACATTATTTAAGAGTGTAAAAAAAGTTTATATGCTCTAAATGCATTTGAATATTGAAACTATTAATTTTTAAAGTCAACTTCCACTAGTATGTCAATAGCCTTATTAATTTGCAACTTACTATGTTGTGTTCGTTGGCGACTATTTTAATTGCAAGAGCAGCAGTTTCTCTCTAAGTGACCCCTGTGACCCCTGTGAGCAAAGTTACCAGCAATTGCAAGGTGAATTTACAAATTAACAAAAGCAGCCCTATAATTACATTTGTTTTGACAAAATCAGTATTAGGAAGTAAGGTTATACGTGTGCTCGAAGGTTTTTTTTTGATGTGGAGAGGTTAGATTTAATCAAGCAGAAGGCAGAAGGCAGGGATGCGGTGCAGGGGACGGCCGTGTACGGGATCTGATCCGTGCAGAAAGCGGCGAAAAATACGCGCGGAGAGCGCTCGTCTGATTTCAACCTCCCGCTGACCCCGTGTGATCTTACATCTTCGACCCAGAGCGGCGAGGACGCATGGAACCTTAGACTTTATCGGTGCTGTGAATTAACGTCAATTGCATCTAGCACGGATGGCGGGGGATGCCTTTAATGAGAACATACGCTTTTCATTTTGAC